GAGGGCTGTGGGGCAGGGTTATGGGCTGCGCTGAGGGCTTTGAGGCCGGGCTGAGGGCTGTGGGGCAGGGTTATGGGCTGCGCTGAGGGCTTTGAGGCCGGGCTGAGGGCTGTGGGGCAGGGTTATGGGCTGCGCTGAGGGCTTTGAGGCCGGGCTGAGGGCTGTGGGGCAGGGTTATGGGCTGCGCTGAGGGCTTTGAGGCCGGGCTGAGGGCTGTGGGGCAGGGTTATGGGCTGCGCTGAGGGCTTTGAGGCCGGGCTGAGGGCTGTGGGGCAGGGTTATGGGCTGCGCTGAGGGCTTTGAGGCCGGGCTGAGGGCTGTGGGGCAGGGTTATGGGCTGCGCTGAGGGCTTTGAGGCCGGGCTGAGGGCTGTGGGGCAGGGTTATGGGCTGCGCTGAGGGCTTTGAGGCCGGGCTGAGGGCTGTGGGGCAGGGTTATGGGCTGCGCTGAGGGCTTTGAGGCCGGGCTGAGGGCTGTGGGGCAGGGTTATGGGCTGCGCTGAGGGCTTTGAGGCCGGGCTGAGGGCTGTGGGGCAGGGTTATGGGCTGCGCTGAGGGCTTTGAGGCCGGGCTGAGGGCTGTGGGGCAGGGTTATGGGCTGCGCTGAGGGCTTTGAGGCCGGGCTGAGGGCTGTGGGGCAGGGTTATGGGCTGCGCTGAGGGCTTTGAGGCCGGGCTGAGGGCTGTGGGGCAGGGTTATGGGCTGCGCTGAGGGCTTTGAGGCCGGGCTGAGGGCTGTGGGGCAGGGTTATGGGCTGCGCTGAGGGCTTTGAGGCCGGGCTGAGGGCTGTGGGGCAGGGTTATGGGCTGCGCTGAGGGCTTTGAGGCCGGGCTGAGGGCTGTGGGGCAGGGTTATGGGCTGCGCTGAGGGCTTTGAGGCCGGGCTGAGGGCTGTGGGGCAGGGTTATGGGCTGCGCTGAGGGCTTTGAGGCCGGGCTGAGGGCTGTGGGGCAGGGTTATGGGCTGCGCTGAGGGCTTTGAGGCCGGGCTGAGGGCTGTGGGGCAGGGTTATGGGCTGCGCTGAGGGCTTTGAGGCCGGGCTGAGGGCTGTGGGGCAGGGTTATGGGCTGCGCTGAGGGCTTTGAGGCCGGGCTGAGGGCTGTGGGGCAGGGTTATGGGCTGCGCTGAGGGCTTTGAGGCCGGGCTGAGGGCTGTGGGGCAGGGTTATGGGCTGCGCTGAGGGCTTTGAGGCCGGGCTGAGGGCTGTGGGGCAGGGTTATGGGCTGCGCTGAGGGCTTTGAGGCCGGGCTGAGGGCTGTGGGGCAGGGTTATGGGCTGCGCTGAGGGCTTTGAGGCCGGGCTGAGGGCTGTGGGGCAGGGTTATGGGCTGCGCTGAGGGCTTTGAGGCCGGGCTGAGGGCTGTGGGGCAGGGTTATGGGCTGCGCTGAGGGCTTTGAGGCCGGGCTGAGGGCTGTGGGGCAGGGTTATGGGCTGCGCTGAGGGCTTTGAGGCCGGGCTGAGGGCTGTGGGGCAGGGTTATGGGCTGCGCTGAGGGCTTTGAGGCCGGGCTGAGGGCTGTGGGGCAGGGTTATGGGCTGCGCTGAGGGCTTTGAGGCCGGGCTGAGGGCTGTGGGGCAGGGTTATGGGCTGCGCTGAGGGCTTTGAGGCCGGGCTGAGGGCTGTGGGGCAGGGTTATGGGCTGCGCTGAGGGCTTTGAGGCCGGGCTGAGGGCTGTGGGGCAGGGTTATGGGCTGCGCTGAGGGCTTTGAGGCCGGGCTGAGGGCTGTGGGGCAGGGTTATGGGCTGCGCTGAGGGCTTTGAGGCCGGGCTGAGGGCTGTGGGGCAGGGTTATGGGCTGCGCTGAGGGCTTTGAGGCCGGGCTGAGGGCTGTGGGGCAGGGTTATGGGCTGCGCTGAGGGCTTTGAGGCCGGGCTGAGGGCTGTGGGGCAGGGTTATGGGCTGCGCTGAGGGCTTTGAGGCCGGGCTGAGGGCTGTGGGGCAGGGTTATGGGCTGCGCTGAGGGCTTTGAGGCCGGGCTGAGGGCTGTGGGGCAGGGTTATGGGCTGCGCTGAGGGCTTTGAGGCCGGGCTGAGGGCTGTGGGGCAGGGTTATGGGCTGCGCTGAGGGCTTTGAGGCCGGGCTGAGGGCTGTGGGGCAGGGTTATGGGCTGCGCTGAGGGCTTTGAGGCCGGGCTGAGGGCTGTGGGGCAGGGTTATGGGCTGCGCTGAGGGCTTTGAGGCCGGGCTGAGGGCTGTGGGGCAGGGTTATGGGCTGCGCTGAGGGCTTTGAGGCCGGGCTGAGGGCTGTGGGGCAGGGTTATGGGCTGCGCTGAGGGCTTTGAGGCCGGGCTGAGGGCTGTGGGGCAGGGTTATGGGCTGCGCTGAGGGCTTTGAGGCCGGGCTGAGGGCTGTGGGGCAGGGTTATGGGCTGCGCTGAGGGCTTTGAGGCCGGGCTGAGGGCTGTGGGGCAGGGTTATGGGCTGCGCTGAGGGCTTTGAGGCCGGGCTGAGGGCTGTGGGGCAGGGTTATGGGCTGCGCTGAGGGCTTTGAGGCCGGGCTGAGGGCTGTGGGGCAGGGTTATGGGCTGCGCTGAGGGCTTTGAGGCCGGGCTGAGGGCTGTGGGGCAGGGTTATGGGCTGCGCTGAGGGCTTTGAGGCCGGGCTGAGGGCTGTGGGGCAGGGTTATGGGCTGCGCTGAGGGCTTTGAGGCCGGGCTGAGGGCTGTGGGGCAGGGTTATGGGCTGCGCTGAGGGCTTTGAGGCCGGGCTGAGGGCTGTGGGGCAGGGTTATGGGCTGCGCTGAGGGCTTTGAGGCCGGGCTGAGGGCTGTGGGGCAGGGTTATGGGCTGCGCTGAGGGCTTTGAGGCCGGGCTGAGGGCTGTGGGGCAGGGTTATGGGCTGCGCTGAGGGCTTTGAGGCCGGGCTGAGGGCTGTGGGGCAGGGTTATGGGCTGCGCTGAGGGCTTTGAGGCCGGGCTGAGGGCTGTGGGGCAGGGTTATGGGCTGCGCTGAGGGCTTTGAGGCCGGGCTGAGGGCTGTGGGGCAGGGTTATGGGCTGCGCTGAGGGCTTTGAGGCCGGGCTGAGGGCTGTGGGGCAGGGTTATGGGCTGCGCTGAGGGCTTTGAGGCCGGGCTGAGGGCTGTGGGGCAGGGTTATGGGCTGCGCTGAGGGCTTTGAGGCCGGGCTGAGGGCTGTGGGGCAGGGTTATGGGCTGCGCTGAGGGCTTTGAGGCCGGGCTGAGGGCTGTGGGGCAGGGTTATGGGCTGCGCTGAGGGCTTTGAGGCCGGGCTGAGGGCTGTGGGGCAGGGTTATGGGCTGCGCTGAGGGCTTTGAGGCCGGGCTGAGGGCTGTGGGGCAGGGTTATGGGCTGCGCTGAGGGCTTTGAGGCCGGGCTGAGGGCTGTGGGGCAGGGTTATGGGCTGCGCTGAGGGCTTTGAGGCCGGGCTGAGGGCTGTGGGGCAGGGTTATGGGCCATGCTGAGGGCTATGGGGCAGGGTTATGGGCCGTGCTGAGGGACAGGGTTATAGGCCCATGATGAGGGCTGTGGGGCAGGGTTATGGGCTGCGCTGAGGGCTTTGAGGCCGGGCTGAGGGCTGTGGGGCAGGGTTATGGGCCGTGCTGAGGGCTATGGGGCAGGGTTATGGGCTGTGCTGAGGGCTATGGGGCAGGGCTGTGGGGTAGGATTATGGGCCGTGCTGAGGGCTGTGGGGCAGGGCTGTGGGGCAGGGCTATAGGCTAGGATGAGGGCTGTGGGGCAGGGTTATGGGCTGTGCTGAGCGCTTTGGGGCTGTGCTGAGGGCTATGGGGCAAGGCTGTGGGGCAGGGTTATAGGCCATGCTGAGGGCTGTGGGGCAGACCTGCGGGTCGCACCGAACGCCGTGGGGCCGGGCTGTGGGGCCCCGCCGTGGGTCAGACCTGATGGCGGTGCCTCCGCGATGGCGACGCTCCCCTCAGCGAATGGGCGTGGCCCTCCCCGCTTTCCCGCCCTCGCCCTTCTCAGCCAATCAGCGACGAGCTGCCTTCGCGCCCAACGGCGCCGCCGCCACGCGCT